AAAGAATGACTATAGCTTTCGCTTTAGAAAACAAGAAATATACTCAAATTTGACTTTTAATAGTAGCAATCAAGTCAAAAACTATGTTTACCTACTAGTTTTCAAAATTTAACTAATTTGAATTTAAATTTAAATATGACACCCCTACCAACAATGATGATGTTGATGATAGCGATAAAGACGATCTTGACTGTAGATTTTGTAACGATGTTACCATAAATTCATACCCTAATATTTCAAGATACAACTACAGACGAAAAAAGCCACTAGCCGCTTCGATGCATTTTTTTCATTCTACAGTCGATTAAAACTGTTAAGTTCTTTTTTATAATGTTGATATGTTTTGATAAAATTTCACTAATTTCTCGTTTCATTTTCAATCTCCGAAATCACACACACACTCCTTTTATTGACTTCACTTATCTCTCTCTCGTTGCTCCTGACTAAACTGCGCAATACGAGAAGAAGAAATAGATTATAAAGACATAATCTATTCACAACCTTTTTAGCTTTTTCAGATGAGAAAAAGAAATAGAGACAAGAAAGAAAACGAGCAAGAGTTATTCGACCAAAACAGCAGAACGAAAGTATAGACGAGAAACAAAGAATAAACTAAAGAACATCTAACAGAACGAAAGAAAATATAAAACAAAACAAAGCACAACATGTCTTATGGCATATCATTTATGTCATAACAAAAACGTATCACTCTGTATTTGAAATATGCTGAAATATACAACCTTTAGTTACAATAGGTTTTTCAATTTATGAAACGTCTTATAAATATGGTTCGAAAAACTTTCTATGCTTGTTCTTCTCAGTCTGATTTTATCGATGAACTGTTTCTTTTCTTTAAATCATAGTTTATTCTTGTTCGTATTTATAGGGTGTGGGTGTGATATCTTTGCGCACACCCACGTATGCACCACTGACATAGATCAATGTAAAAGCATATCTCATGCGAATGATATGTATGCAGACAACTAGCTAAAACTGCTTTTGCAACATTGGCATTTTATTACCGTCAATATTCGTTAAAGGTTATTTCAGGATTTCATAAATTTTACAAAAACATAGAATTCAAACAAAATCTTACTCCTGATAACTAAATTAATGTTGATGAGATTCAATGAATTTTTCAGCGCCCTCTGAAATGCATAATGTGCTATTCATGAGATGTTTCACTTTTTTTCTATTACGACCAGTTTCACTCAACTCTTTTTTCTTTTTGTTTGTCATTGGTGACTATGTACCATCAATATTATATCTGAAATACTCTATTTTTTTCAGACGTTTGAGTAATGAATTATTCTCAGACATCATAGAATACAAAAACAATAATCTTTTACTCATTACTTTATGAACTCCTACTGAACACAATAGTTACTGCTTTTCACTATTTATTCAGTACTAACAATTCAAATTTTTTAAATACCTTTGCTGAAAAAAATATTATAGTTGATGTTGAATCACGTGAAAGAATTGAAAATGTGAGAGCTGAAATTCGAGATAAAAGAAAGGTATTTCAACCAATGAACAATATCTTGTCATTGTTAGTAAACAAGTGGAAGTTGGTCGAATACTCGATCATTACAACATCCAAAAAGAAAGTACTCTTCACTTTGAAATTTCTTCGATTTCGGAGTGGCGAAAACAAATAAAAG